CTGTTCGATTTCGCGGTTTTTCAAATTTTTGAATTAATTCGAGTTTATCTTGTCTCGGTTTAACCCCATCCACGGACAGCTCGTGCCCCAAAAATTTAACCTCTTTTTTACCAAACAAAGATTTATCCAAATTCAGAGTAAAATTATTTTCTTGTAACACTGTAAAAATTTTTTCAATTTCATAAATATGATTATAAAAATTTCCCTTAGTTGTAATTAAAAAATCGTCAATATAAATAGTCAAAGTTTCTTCAAATTGATTCCCTAGAACTTCATGCAGCGATCGAATAAACACGGAACCAGCCGTCTTTAGGCCAAATGGCAGCCTGCAGAACTGGTACATCTGAGAATCATACAGAAACGCAGTGTACTTGCGACTATCTGGATGCAGTGGTATCTGCCAGTACCCTGTTGCCAAATCAGTAGTCGACAAGTAACTAATACCCTGAAATTTCTGTAATAATTCATAAACCAAAGGCGGAGCCTCGTGATCCGATTTGATTATTACATTAATAAATCGAGCATCCAAGCAAATACGTACCGTTCCATCACTTTTGATGACTATACGTATTGGGTTGCAATAAGAAACATTACATTTCTCAATGACGCGTGCTTCTAACATTTTTTGTATTTTACAACTTACTTTTTTTCGATGAGCTATCGGAATTGAATATGTTTTAAACACAGGTACTTTATGGGGCTTAACACGAATTTGGTAGGGAGTGACTTTTGCACCACAATTTTTTTCGGAAAATAAATACTCAAATTTGGACATTACTTGTGCAAAAACCTCTCTTTCACGATCAGTGATCCCCGGAATCTCAGAAGCGATAACTTCAACGTCTCTCAAAAAAGTATTTCCCACATCGATTCGACTTATATATCCTTCCTGACAGATTCCAATTTCCTTAAATGATTCTATCTCTCTCGAATAATCCTTATTATACTCCCCAGCATCAATAAAATCAACAAAATTTGGATCTATTTCCTGATCATATTCATAAATATTTTCACGATGCTTTTTAATTACTACGTGTTCTTTATTTACATTATTTGCTAGTTCCTGCACTGAAGTTTCTTTTACACGGCTCGTATCTATGACAGACAGAGATTCGTCATCGGTCTTACTGGCGCGTGAATTCCCCATGATCTGATCCCCACCATTAGTCTCACCACCGATCTCCCCACCTAGCGTCATACCAAAATCCCAACCCACATCACAAGCCTCTAACACCTGAATATACATTATCGGATCGTCACTTTTATTATCGGCATGTTTTTCCACTCTATTTCCAAAATGAGTTACTGAATTGTTCAATTCAATACCATCGACTATTATTCCCAATTTATCATAATCAATTACCACTCGATTTTTTAATAACCAATCATTACCTATTATCATATCATTCGACAAATTAGGAACCACTAAAAATTGAGATGAAATCTTTTTTCCATCTATCCTGACGTCACATGCGACTTGTTTTTTAACAACCGTCGGCTTCTTACCAATTGCAGTAAATAATCTAATATTAGTTACAGGCAGAATGAAGAACTTCCCATGTTGTTTCAAATAAGCATAATATGACTCAGAAATCGCGGTAATCTGGCTACCCGTGTCCACGAGTGCCTTCATGGGGACAGAGAAAATGGAGAGGGTAACCCGTGGGCAGAGGGGAATATGACACGAAGGAGTTACCTTCTCTGACTCCCCACCCAGGAGATCCCTACTCAAACTATCAAAGTCATGATAATCGTAACACCGCGACAATTCCACGTTAGAGATATTATTTTCCATTGCGCTATCAAAATCTTCTCCATCGGCACCCTGACTACCATATTTACACCATGTCGGAGGGGGAATTGACAAATTTGGGAGAGAGATCTTCTCCTCCTCTGCATTGAAATGAGTAAAGTAATGACTATTCGACTCAGCCCGGCCGGGACTCATACCAATATTCGATGTCACCACCTTTGCAGGGAAGTTTCCCCGATTGTTACTCTGCTGCTGACTCCCACCTTGCATCGGTCTTCCATCCCCCCCTCGAGACTGATTCCCACGCGACTCACCTCTCTTCTCCTCGGTTCTATCGCCATGAAAGAGGGGCCCCCTTTTAGAACTCTCCTGCTTATCACGAAATGTTACATCTAATTGTGACAACACTTGACATATTTTTTCAAAATCCGCAAAATCCACAGCCGACAAAATTTCTCGAATTCGCATAGGTAACTGCTGTATGATCGTATAGTGGAGTTCATAATTTTCCATCTTCGGTGTAAAATATTGCGCGTCTTTAACTTGATTGAGAAAATATGAATTAAGTTGATCTTTCGAAGGATCAAACTTTCTTTTATGCCACTCCGACTTAATTCTCACTCGAACGGCTACAGAATAAAATTCGTCAATAAATTTTTTTTTAAAATTAGCATAATCAGCGAACGTTTGCGTTTCGAACCACAATTTTTCGTTTCCGTCAAAAACATCGTCCAGATATTCTAACCGTTCATTAAGAGAAATATGTTTAATCTTAAAATATTTATCCAACTTTTCAATAAAAACTTGAGGATTTTGAGCTTCACGAAATTTAGGCGGTTTAACTTCAATATGAATTGCGCGCATTCCGTCAATCAAGGTTTGAAAAAATTGTTGATTATTATTATTTACCGGCACTTCAGCGAGTTGTTTTCGAATAGCCTGCAATTGATCATTTTGAGTTTTAGTTAACAATCGTAAATTATTTATTTCTACACTATATTGATCAATTTGTAATCTATGACTGTGCTGTAATTGTAATAAGTCATTATTTAACTTATCAATTTGTTGTTGAGCATGTTGCAACTTGACCGATTCTTTTTCCTTTTCTGGATTCGGAGTCATATTTTTAATTTGCGAAAATCTACCACGTTTATTTATTCGTTTACTACTCAACGGCGTCGATATTACTCTTTTCAAATGCGACCTTGTTCTTACCGGAGAGCGTATGGACATAAATACAACAACAAAAATTACACAATCATTCACACGACAAAATGAATACAATATAAAAACAATTTAGAGGACACACAACGTCGGGTCCCCGTTCGGGCGCCAAATGTAACAATTTTAATACTTTACAGAACTCAGAATTTATAATAAAAATTAACTTGAATCATAAAATAATTTTTTGGCATTGAATAATTATCAAAATTACATATCCATCAATGAGAAATAAATAATGTTATAATTAAAATGAGGAAAACATATAAAATGAATATACAACTAAAAATTAGATAATTATACCATCAATTTTATATAAAAATTATCGAGTCACAATAAATAAATCTGGAAATGAGTTAATCACAGATTGTCAAATATAATATAAGGGATATTATCCTTATTGATAATTTTATCGGTATATTCATGTATAAAAAAATCGCCCTGGGAGAGACGTATTAATTAACATTCATTCACACATGAGAACATAAAACTTTACTTATCAGGCAAGACTTGAGCAGTTAGCGTCCGTTGCTTCATCCAAAACCCCGCCGCGCCCTCGAGTCGCACGCTGGTTTCAGTTAATGAGGTGAAAGTCACTCTTATCCACTCTTATGGAGTCTCACTCCATCCTCTGCAACCTGGTACCAAGGGACGAAGTCTAGATCGCTCTCGAGATGCTCTGCCTTTCATCAATTTAAATCCGCCCACTATAAATCGCCACACTACGAAATTTCATGTACAAAAAAAACTATAAATATCCAAACTAATATTTGTGATTTTACATAATTGAAAAAACGATATGAACTTACCATCAGCGTCCTTGGCGTGCACTTGAATTCGTAGAGCGGATTCAGCCGTCAGTTCCCAGGGCGATGGTCAATTAACTTGATCCACGCTTCTGTGAACCGACGCTAGCCTCCCGCTCTTTCACGAATTTCCCTCACTTATTGTAAGATGTGCCGAGCCAAGGACCCTGATAGGTCCCCACATTATCAGAGCATCCCAAAACGACACCAGATCCATCCCCTCGAACCCCAACGTCCAGGCAACCCGGAGGGCACGACGGTATAATGGAACAACATCGCTTCAACATGAAGAAATCGTGCACTCCGAGTCTTCGACTCGGAGCAATCGATATCTTCATGTTTCATAAAAATACTTTTATAAGTTGTTTAATTTAAAAAAGGTTTGAATTTTGAATTTTTGAATGTCTTAATATTCCTGTGAAAAATCCTGTTCCAAAAACAAGATTGAAATAGAAATTGTGCAAATGTTTTCTTCTTTTTCTAAAAAAACATTATAAATTTGTTTAAAAAAATTGTGATTAAAAAAAATGGAAAATAAATAAATTTTTTATTTCTTAATCACAGTTGTTTAATCATTTTCTAATTTTTTTTAGAAGTAAAGAACAAAAATCTGCATAATTTCAATTTGACGAAACGTAATATTTAACAAAATTTTAGTCTTTGAATCAAAAGAAGTGAAAAAAATTCTGATGATTTCTATTTGTCGTTACAATTTTGAATTAATTATAAAATAAAAATAATTATAACATAATAATATAATATACAATCTATCTAAAGATAAAAAACAAATGTATAAACAAAAGACAACTTCAGAGTGTGAGGGACAGAAAAAGTAAATGAAGGAATGAAAGAACATTCAAATTATTATAGTTAATTAATCTTTTTGATACCTATTCGTTTATGGTGCACAGGTAAACATCCACAATATATACAATTGTAGCCAATGTCTTGAATCCATTCATACTCCAGGCAGTCCGAATGTTCAACACAAGAACCTCTTAGTATGCTTCTGAAATCTCTTCCACACACGCTCATTTTTTGAAAATAACCAAACCTGTAAAAATATAAAAAATATTGAATGTAAGGTAATATTATATATAAATAAACATTACGTGAAAGAAAATTTACTTCCCAATTGAAATCACAATTTTTCTTATAAAATAGATAATATAAAACTTTTTTTAAATAACACAAATTGACAAACCTTAATTTAAAAAAAATTAAGACTTAGTGACTAAATGCAAATCGCAAAAATTCTGTTTGACTATTAAAAAAATCTCTCCTTCGGAAATGTGACTGTGATACACATTGGGTGAAATAAGGTCTCTAAACGTGAATTTAACAAAGTTGTCTTCTTCAGTTTCCACTCTATAAGCCATTAGTTGAACATTATGTTCGACTGTTTGAACAAATCGGCAAATAAAAACGGGCAAATTATCTTCAATAACAATATTGAATAATTCAGCAAATAGTGGAAAAGAATTTTGTTCATCATACCCAACAGGAATGTAACACTTCCTGGCAGTGTATTTTGTTCCATTATATCTGACCCACGAAACCAATGTTACTGTTGGATTATGTGGATATAACTGTGAAAATGGTAAGGCCTCTGTCAATTTTAATTTCCGTGGTCCAGTTACAACATCTTTAAGTAAAGTATGCATCATTTGGAAACTTTGGTTCAATTGATGCCAATTCGCTAATGTGAATGGAAGATTTTTTGCATTATGAACACATTTTGCTTTGTTCTTCAACAAAGCATGTTTGGCTTCTACTTTCATGCACCAAAATTGAACTAGTGAACCAAATTTTTCAAAATCGCGAGGAAAATGAGTCATATAATGCTGTTTTGGTGTTAATTTTTTTCCTTCTTCATTTTGGAAAGGCTCATTTTCATGATCAGAATCATTTTCGTTGCCAATATTTTTAATCGCAATATCATTATCACCGTCAATATCCATATTTTCTGCAACATTCATATTTTCGTCGGAATACAACCTTTTAAAATCTGTAAGGTATTCTGTTATACACATGGCTAAGTAGTCGATCATTCCTCTACTAATCGAATGTCCCATTACAATGGACGAGACTTCTAATAATTTTGAGAAATTGTGAGTATACTCACAATCTTCTTCTACTGAACCCCTCAAAATAAGTGGTAATATGACTGCTAAAAGCCATGTTTGTGATGCAGATTGGTGGAAATTTTTAGTTAAATGCTGCACTTTAATTGGAGATGGTTTACACAGCAATTCAGTGTAGCCGTAATCAAAATTCTGCAAATTGTCGTTTAAATCTTGAAGAGTGATTTTTCCATCAATAAGACATATTTTTCGCAAATATAATTGTAATGTTCGATGAAAAACACCTTCTAAAATAGTGTGCATCACATCTGGAGGAATATTAACAACTGGACTGAAGTTTGCAATTTGGTTTAAAACTGTACCTCGATTTATTCCGTAAAGTTTCGAAAGTCTTTTTTTTTCTGCGCCAAAAGCGTGTTCAATTTCATTAACCTGATGCAAATAACTTTCTGGAGTCCGAATCAAATCAATATTTTCTGTTGTTAATGTACGTACTTCTTGTAAACTTGCTTCGCAGGAAATACAAGGATGATCCGCCGTAAAACCTTCTTTAAATTTCGATATCTTATGCTGACCAAGATTATCTGCACAGATTGCAAATAGGTTTGCACGAATTATTTCCCCATTTTCAAGTTCTATACCATTTGTCAAACTTTGAATACTTTCCACGATTGGTGCTAGAATAGCATCCATGCCGTACCTTTCAATGTCCTCGCTTTTAACAATTCCCGACAGATTCATAAATTTTAAATTGGACCGATACATTGGTTGTATATTTCCCAAAGTCCAATAAATCATTCCTAAGTTGTGTTTAGGGACTGCTTTAGAACCAATTGGGTTAGACATCTGGGTTTCGTCAAATCCAAGAATGATTCTAAATGCATCTCTGTGTTGAGAAAAGAAAGTATCGTTAGCAAAGATAAGACCATCTTCGTCAGATGACATAATGTTTTCTCGTGGAACATGCTGCTGAAGAACATCTCTAAACTCCGGATGTCTCAGCCATTGTTTAAGAACGTCGGCAATTGGAATAATCATCATTTCATCTGTATGTAATTTTGTAGGACGGTCATTCCCACAAGTGCCGGTTCCATGTCTGATAAATCTCCTGCCCAGTTCATACCTTTCGGGCTTTATCATTGAGAATGCATTTTCGAAGTACTTATCCTGTTTGTGTTTAGTATCCAAATTTTGAGTACAATTAATTGAATGTAATTCTTCCTCGATATTAATAAATTCCCGCAATTCTATTCCATTTTCCTCCAAAACTTGTTCAACGTGATTTAAAGTTGTTCTTACATAAGTAGAAACTATTTCTCTTAAATTCATTAATATCTGGTCAATATTTGGTTGCCTCAAGTTGGATGACGCCCTCAGTCGTAAAATGAACGTGCCTATGGCTCTCTTCAAAACATTGTCCTCGAAAGGAACGTCATCTTCCTCTAATTCTTCTTCAGAATCCTCATCTGAATCGAGGTTATTAAAAAAATTGTCCATCGTCGTCACAACTTGAGATGATCAGGAAATCTTGAAAGGGAAGAACGTTTACATGGTAAGATTCTTAAAACGCCATAATTTTTCGTATTTATTTTTCTTGGAGTTATCCTTTGTCATTTAAAATTTTTTGGGTTTTCAGTAATTAAAACTAACGATAAAATCGATACTTTTGTCCAAAAGAAACCTCTTTTCACGTTGACCCTATAAAACAACTGAACTGTATCTTTCCTCCTAACCTTGTCATATTTTAATTTTTACTTTTTTATTTAGAGTTCAACATTTGCAATAAATTTAAACAGAATTTATAATTAACCAATATTAATAAACTGTAAGTGATTATTATTTCACTGCCAATATTTTTTATTTAAAAAAAAATAATTTAAAAAATATTTCGATGTTAAGAAAAAAATGTAGTCAGATTATTTAACAGGGGCATTATGAGAGTTGCTTCTTTGGAACGGATATATATATATATATGAATGTGTACAATACATTTCTGGTCTTCAAAGTCATAAAAGTATTTTAAAAAAATTAATAGCAAACTTTCAGTACATCAAAATTTACATTATTTTAGGAGTGCCAATTTATTTTTTGAAATTATGACGCATTTAAAATAATTATTTGGAAAATTTAGAAAAGCACTTTATTTGTTTATATTTTTTAGTTCAAATTTACATTTTTAGAGTGAACGGAAGTTTTAACATTACATTTAATTTATTTTGACAATTTATTTTGTATTTTTTTACGATCCTAAACAATAAATTACTTATATTTCAGAAAGTGTACATTTCCATAATAAAAATACCAGACTTATCCAAAATAATGTTTTTAAATAAGGCGAAAAGAAATTTAAATTCATCTACAACTAAATTTCGACGTCCCGTTAATATTTCTAAATACGTACTTTTAAAATCAACAAGTGATATCGTTTTTAAAAAAAATAATGTATTTAACTTTGAAATTTATTTAACTTCAAACAACAATGTGTAATGAAAATGTTAACGAATAAAAAAGAAAAATCTCGTCAGTGTGAAAAAATGTTTCTTATTGACCAAGAATTGTAATTTTTATTTAAATGCAACTTACTTTTTAATTATTTTAAATGCTCAAAATCAAATTATTCGCTTTTCCACTAAAACGAATTTAAAATTTAATTTGTATTTCTCTTTTAAACTACAAAATTTTCAACTGTCAACCAATATCTGTAACAAATTATAGACATTTAGTATTTTTACCTTTTCGCATTGAAGTTAAAGAAAATGTATTTTTACATTATTAATTAATCATTTTCCTTTTTTCTCCCTCTTCTGTATTTCTGTATTTCTCCATCTTCTGTATTATATATATATATATATATATCACTCGTTAAAGAGAAAAGGGAACCTTGTGGCACATTTGCGTAAACTATGAAGTAATGAAAGATAATCGTAGGAAATTATTTATAAATATTACACTTTTAATTAAGAAAATGTTTACTTTGGTAAAGACAAAACAGTATTTATATACTTTTTAAACACTTTTTTACTACACTTTAATAATTATCATAATTGTATTTAAGTCACATTTTGAGGTTAGGATTATTAAAGAATTAAAGACATTATTACAAGTCTATTGTAGATAAATGAAGTTTTTACAGTGACACACTATTTGAACTATTAATTCGAATGACTTTTCAGAATTATATTAAAATATAAAAGTTTGTTTTACTTGCCACTTGGAATATAAAAACTTTCCTTTCGAAGAAAACTCGCTGTCACTACAAACAGTATTTTTGCTTATTTCACTACTTATGGCGCGTATGACGCGAACGATAATAATTCACCTAAAACTCACAAGTGAGTGATGAATTTGCGGTGTCGTATAAGTAAATGTGATTGGCCCTTTTAAAAATTTCCAACAAATGACAAACCAATAAGAAAAACGTTAAGCCAATAAGAACTTTCGACTAAATGGAAATTATTCTAATGGAGAATTCTCATTGGTTCAACGTTTTTCGTTCCTGGTGCCATGGCATTAACCCTTTAAAATAATAAATTGACATAATAATATAAGGAATATTATCATTTATTGTAATATAAATAAATAAATAAACTTACCTTGCAATATAAATTGCAATATAAATTACCTTGTAATATAAATAAATATACTTACCTTGCAATAAAAGTTTAATTAAAATTTTTTGCAATTTTAGTTTCACACGCGAGTGTAAATAAAGTTATTTGTGTATTTTTAATAAAAAATGAGCAGTTCTCTATTAAAAAAACATATATACCATGTATGAATATAACTTTTAACCGAATATATTATATAATAATTATGTATTTATATTATAAGACATTAATGTCAATGGATTTGGTAAGTACTTTGATTTAGTACGAAATTAATACCACATGTAGTATTATAATCAAAATACAGTCACATACGGTGCTACAATAATACAAGTTAGGACTATTTTCAGTGAGTACTATTTTAATACCCAAAAAGGGTACTAATTTAGAACTTTTTTTTACAGTGAAGGCCTCCACAAAGTAGACGCAAATTCGATAACAGGTCTGACTAACGCAAAGTACAATATTTTTATTGCTAACTCGTTTTTGAAATTTGAGGCACTTCTCATGACAAAGCTCAAGACCCTGTTGGCCATATTGATAGTATTGTTGATATGATCATTATAATGAAAAAATCTATTGAGCATTACCCCAAGGTCACGTATAACTGTTGCTTTAGAAATAATATCGTTGCCAATTAGATAAAAGCAGACAGGATCATTTCAGTCGATCCTGACTACATGTAATAGACTTATAAATTTTCAAATAGTCCGCCAATGAAAGAAAAAATGAATGCGTAAAAACCGTTTTAATATCATTGATAAAAATTATGAAAAATAATGGACCTAAATTTGAACCTTGGGGAACTCCTGAGGTTGCTATAAATATGTCGGAAAAGTCATAATTAATTCGTACCGATAGAGTACGTTCAGTGAGATAGCCTTTTATCCATAATATTAGTCCATAAAAAAACCCATGGTCCTAAGCTTTGTCAGGAGAATGCCGTGGTCGACCTTATCAAAAGCCTTAGCGAAGTCCGTATAAATAGTATCCACCGCAGCACCAGATTGAAGAATGGATTCTCTAGAAATAGCAGAAACGTTAATAAAATTGTCATTATAATAATCCGAGGCTGCGGTGGAAACTTCAGATAAAGAGGTAGTATAAACAGAAAAAAAAATTTTTTTAAACAATTATCACAGTGGTCCAGGATCGTCGTTTTTGGCCAAAAATCATTATTTAAAAAAAACAAGATATTTACGAATAACAAGTATGCTACCTACAGTTTTTGGGGTCGCTGATTACGAATCTGAAGTCAGATTTTAAAAATTCAAAATGGCGGATCCAATATGGCGGACATAATTTTTTTATATGAATCAATTTTAATAAAGCATAAGTATCTAAAGGTTTCTTGGATCGCTGATTACGAATCTGAAGTCAGATTTCAAAAATTCAAAATGGTGGATCCAATATGGCGGACATACAATTTTTAAAATTAATCGATTTTCATTAAACTTTGTATCTAGGATTTTTTTAGGTCCCTGATTACGAATCTGTTGTAAGAATTCAAGTGGATTTTAGATTGGATGAGATTCGCCTACAATTTGTTGCTTGGGAGTTTTTAAGTTTGGTGATTACAAAACTAGTGTCTATAAAATTCAGAAAATAAAAAAAATTTCTGTTTATTAGCCTACAAAAATAAAACGTACTGTAGTTTCCAGGATCTACCACGAGGTGGTTACAGGTAAAGATCCCATTTTGTATTTTTTTTAGATTTTAAAATTTTTTTTAGTTTTTTTGGTTTTTTTTACACCTGATGTTTACTTATAGGTATATAGTTTCTCGCGTGGGTACAGGGCTAACTTTTCAAATTTTTTAAATCTGACAACAGATTGGTAATCAGCAACCCGAAAAACCTCTACATACCTATGTTTCATTAAAATTGATTAATTTAAAATTTTTTATGACCGCCATTTTGATTTTTTGAAATTGACATCAGATTCGTAATCAGCGACCCAAAAAATCCATAGATACCTATGTTTAATACAAATTGATTGATTTTAAAATTTTTATATCCGCCATATTGGATCCGCCATTTTGAATTTTTGAAATCTGACATCAGATTCGTAATCAGCGACACAAAAAATTGTTAAATACCACTGTTCATTATAATTGATTAATTTTGAATATTGTCTTTATATACCTATTTATTGCATATATATTTATATGTTTATTGCAATATTCTTGTTATGTTGAAAAAATATGAAAAGGCGCAAAATGGCACATATTGGCGTCAAAGTAGACATGCTAAGTAATCGTTCTATAACTTGTTTTTCCAAATATTATGCGGCTCGAAGGAGCTCGACTAACTGAAAGTCGGCACTCTATTGAAAAATCCACTATTTGTTAACTTGAATGGAGCTACATTTTAATAAATTTTATTTTTTTGAAGTAACTATAGGTTTTTTACTTTAAGATATCTGTTGATGAGAAAAAATAAGTACTTATACAAAAATAATTTATTTATTTCTAGATATATTAGGTATTTCAATCAAAAACTTATTAAACTATTATTAATATTATTATTATTATTTATTATTATTATTAATTATTTATTTATTAAACTTATTAACTTATTAAACTATTTGAAGATGTAAAAAGAGATTTTAGTTTTTCGCGGAAAGCACCATGAAGATCAATTCTAATAATTTCGCTATATTTGTCCTTTAATCTACGCGTGAAAATACATATTTGTACCAATTTTTAACTCTATAGATGAAAAACTCTTAGCGCTAAGGATGGGGGGTACATGGTAATTTCTACACAGTAAAATTTATGAAATACTCTCATATTATACTTGTGGTAATGTTTTTTACAAGACAGATGTCAAAAGTCAACAATTTTAAAAAATGAAAGAAGAAAAGGAACGGTATATAAATGAGAACTGCCCCG